CGTCAGCGAAATCGTAGACACCCGTTATAGCCCGCAACCCGGCAATGGCTGCAGCCAGCTGGTGCGAGCCGCAAGCCGCGAGATAACGCCCCACCTACGAGCCCCATATGACCGCGGGTCCCCTTCCCGTACAACCGTCTGTTGCACAGCAGCATTCGGCGGTCGACAGGGCTTTCACCTTCTCCGATGCCCCCTCTCTACCCGCCTTTTCTTCCCGCCCCCAATTCACTAACCTTCACCAATTCGTTCACGCACATTGCCACTCACTGACCACACATCCTACGTCCGAGTTGTCGGCATGCCTCACGAGCCCAGCCTTCTCAGCGCGATACACTAGCTGGTCCCCGTAACCGCAGCCCGCCCTTCAAGCCGTGCGTTACACTGCAGTGCTGTCTCTCAGCGCTCGTCTCCACCATGCGGTCGGCCCCAAGGCAGGCGAGCTTCGGATGACCCTCCCGCTAGAACTCGGGAAGAGACGTGTGCCACTCCCGAGTCCCCTCCTTAGCGCTCCGCGGCCCACCCGTGGGCTAAATAGGCAAATCCCCTACCCCTCGGCTGATCGTATGCTATCCCCACCGATAGGGTGGGTGAAATAGAGTGAACCTCCCGCTAGAACGCAGAGAGATACATTGGTACTCTCAAAAACCCGGTCTCTCCACGCCGCTGCTACAACCCACGCCCCCGTCCTGTTAGTCAGTTGGTCAATCGGCCATCTTAGCGGACCTCACCCACGTTTAAACCTCGACGTCGACTCTTCCCTCACCCGAATCGCCTCTTAGCCACGCAAGAAAGCTCCCTCCTCCTCACTGTTCTAACTTCTCGCACATCCCCCTTCTTCTAGCTTCTGACCCACCATCTTTTCGCCAAATCCGATTTCATAGTCGGATTCCCCCAGGGTCACATCCTAGGAACCGCTCTCTCTTCGCCCAAAACCGCTAACGAGCGGGCGCGCTCTGCACTCTCCCCTGCGCCATACCCTGTCCTCCCCGCTACCTCCGAATGCATCTGGCGTGACCCCCGTCCAGGTTCGTTCAACACGCCCCCCCCCCCTTGCCTTCACTGTCGTACCGTGCCACGCCGCCCGCTGGTCCCTGCCCTGCCACCAGCCGTGCTCTAGCCCGCTTCGATCTTCGGGCATGCTGCAAACCTCCTCACACTCGGCATTGGGGCAGCGCTCCCGCATGGCTTCAACAGATATCGACAAATGGCCGGGCGTTGCCCCTCAATTTGTACTCCGGAGCTCGTCGGTCCGCCCCCTCGCCATCGGCCCTTGTGAAATTCGGGCGGCTTCGGCGCCACTCCGCCCTCGTTTTATCCCTTCCGCACGTACCTAGCGCGACTTGTGCCCGGATTTGCTTCGAGCCTTTGCACACCCCCCCCTCCCACAATCGGTCGTGCGGATCTCCTCTGTATCGTTCCAATTCTCACACGTGCCCCGAAGGACTCGGCCAGGGCAATTGCCCGCCGCAGTCCCGAAGGCCCCTCGGCCTTTTCACCCCTTCCCTTTTCCCTTTCTACTTCTCACGCCCCTGACCCAATTCGCATCCGGGTTCATTTCACGACCCTTTTCCGTACGTCACCCCCACATAGGGACCACGTGATTCTTCGCAGTGTAGCAAACCCTCCCGCCTATAGCAAGTCCTTCCCCTGTAGCAAGTCCTTCCCCTGTAGCGGGCATTTTCGGGCCCGCCCTTGATCTTCATCTTTGCCTTGTCAGCACGCCGCACGGATCCTCGGAAGATCCGGCCGTCCTCGGAGGATTCGACCTCTTTCCTCTATTTCGAGGATCTGGCCTTGTTCCGAGGCCCGATTCAAACCTTGCCTCAGCCACCGCTTGGCAATGAGGCCCTTGGGCAACCCACGAACCCAAACAGCCCCCTTGCTCTTGACCGCAGGATTCAGGTGTGTGGCCTAACGCGCGCTGCAAATCGCAGTAGCAGCCACGCTCGGCCCCTGCTACCTTCGGTTTACGTGTGCCGTCCTTGCGCAGGGGCCACATCACCCCCCCCCTCTCTACGGGTTTCTTCACATGAACCTAGCCCTTTTCCGAGGCCGGGTTCAGACAAACGCACCCACCCTATGTCACCGCTTCACCCAGGGCGGGGTGTCCGGGCCACCTCTTGCCTTCACTCCCAGCTCAGCGTACGCCCCGACGGACCTTGGCCAGACGGCACCCCTATGGGAACGCCAAGGCTACTCCGCCGATGCCTTGGCAGTCCGAGGGCGTACCCGCTGGCCAGACTCTCGGACCCGAACCACCGCCATGATACCACGCCCCTAAACCAAATAGAAATTACAACTAATACAAAAATAAAAAATAGAAACAGTATAACTTGACATAACCCATATGTATACACGTGCCCCAAACAAACAGCGGAGCCGCCGGTACCCTGCCGGTCACGTGGGTCGGGCCCGCCGCCACGCCAACTAGCAAAACTAAGGGGGGATAGCCCCGTCGGGCCCTCAACCCCCTCAGCCTTCCTCCATAACGCTCCGCCATTGCTACACCGACGCCCGCCAGCCTCGATCCCTGAGCCTCTGTAGCGGTAATCCGACACCGTAACCTATAGGGCTATGCCCAGGCCTGTAACCAGCAGGCGCGGCTTCCCACATGGAGTGGTGTCACATGGCGCTCCGGGCCAGGACACCGCCCCGGCCACTCTTTCAGCCTACATTTGTACCCACGGCCCCTAAGTGCCCGTGCCGGCCTACCATCCCGCGGCATGGCCATCCCGCGCACCGGCCTGCGCACCACCACCGGTCGCACGTGCCAATCAAAGCGAGCTTTCACCCCCTAATCGAACCCGTCACCCGGCCCGGGTAGGTCGGCCACCCCGACCGCCCACTCAATCAGAAGAATCACACGCGCGCCTTAAAATTGCGCACCCACGTACTCCCTACCGGGACAAGGCACACTTTTACCCACGTGTGGGCGACCATCGCATTTTCCCGCACAGGCACTCGAAATCCAGGCTAAACGAGCCTTTCTGTCACTTGCAAAAACCAGGGCGGATACCCTTGTAAGGGTATTCGCGCCGACAACGACGATCGACGAAAACGAGTGCTATTGGTCCAATATTCGTGACGATGTTAAATTCATCGTCCAAAACTGTCAGGTTTGTGCCGTTGACAAGGCGCCGATTCAGCCGCCAAGGTCGATAGTGCCCACAGTAGTCGAACGGCCTTTTCAAAGAGTTAGCATGGACACGCCTGATATAATGGTGCCCCATGGACCGAATAGCTGTGAATTTTCAATTTTATTGGTATTCTTGGATCATTTTTCCAAATGGATCGAGGCGTATCCATGCCGAACGTGAGAGGCGGCTGAAATCGCGCGGTATGTCAACCGTTTCCTCGGGATGCATCAAGACACCGAGGAAATTCTGACGGATAACGGGGCGGAGTTTAAGAGAGAAGTTTTGAGGAATCTGGTCATACATGGGGTCGCCATTCGTAACACCGCACCTCACATGTCGCAATTGAACGAACTAGTAGAAAACACGAACCGGGTAATTTAGACCGCCCTTCGACGCAATATCGCGGCCAGGGACACGAGGCCTTGGCCCGATATTGTGGACCACATTCTAGAGGTCCATCGAGGAATGCCCCACGAATCCACAGGCCTGAGCCCCTTCCAACTCCGCACCAATAGCTTGACATGTGTCTCGATACCAAGCCTTAACGATGAATCTACCTTGGGTCGACGACCCACAAGGGCCACAGCCCCGGACAAGGCCAAGTGACACTTGAAACTAATGGAACGGTCCCTCCCTAGGTTGGCCCGGAAACGATAGAGGATGACTGAATTGGCCCACGGACGACAAATCCGTAGATACGAGGCCCGAAACGGAAACGCGGGACCACGACCCCAGTACAAATTAGGGGACATGGTGCAGGTGAGGAAATGTGCTCGCCAGGGTAAGCTAGCGCCACGATTCTTCGGGCGATTTCGCGTGATCGAGCTTGGTCCGAACGGGGTGAACACGGTGCGACTGGTGCCCGAAGCCTCAGGCAGTCGAGCGGCTCGCCCGATCGTCCGCCACGTGTCCTACTTCCGCCATCTCTCAACTTCTTCTCCCCCTTCCCCAACCGGGTCGATCTCGGAATCCGAGTGGGAGAGTGACAATCCCCATTCCCCTTCTTCTCCCCACTCATCTCCTCCCTCCTCGTCGCCATGAGTTTTCAACGGAGCAGGTCCTCAGTGAATGTATGCTGGCGCCACGAGGGAACATCTCGACGATCCGGCAAGTCCATTATCCGCGCATCAGCCCCGACGTTCTCTGATTCGCACAGTTCCTCAGCACTGCAGGTGTGCACGCTGCGGCGGAGTTTTGCTTTGTGGTCCCCAACAGCCGGGTGCATGTGCTGGCCGAAGCATCGGCTTATCGGCGACTCTCGACGCCGGGAATCAGTCACATTTCAACGGTTGACGTCTTCAGTGGGGATCTTAGTACGGTGGATCCCAGAGCACATTTGACTATCCGTACCTCGCTGAGGGAGTGGGGCGAGGAATCGGCACAGGCTTGGAGCCAGTTATTGGCGTGGCGAGGGGAGAACGTCGTCAATACCAACAGTATTGACACTGGTAGCATCCGCACTCTTCGGCACGAGCCGGCAATTGCTCTCCTTGCGCTCGTCCCTTTCTCGCGCCCTCAATGAATTGTTCCCAATTCTCTACCTTCACCCTCCCCTCTTTCTTCCCCACTTTTTGGCAGTCAGCCCTCCACCCCCGCCTGTCCTTCTGCGTACGACCGCTTACAGTTCCGCTCATCAAGCCATCGGAGTGGGATATATGGTGTGAGAATCACCTCACCCTTTCTTTGTGCCTAGTCGGGATCAAGCTGACGTGGACTCAGGACAATGAGCACCATGTCGTGAATAAGAGTGTGGAGCTGCTTATTATCCAAGCCTGGAGGTCAGAGGTGGAGGGAGACCTTCTCAGATTCATCTTCGGAACAGTAGACCCAGGGCATCGGCAAACGATCGTGTGGGAGCTCTTGGTCCCCTTCGCGCAACTGCTCGACGATCCATCATCTCGCATCGCGACGAAAATCCAGCGCCGCACGTGCTTTCGTGGAGTTGAATGCCGTACTTACAATGGTCGGCGTGTCTGGAGGATCGCGGGGAAAGAGGTAGCTACCCATCGCGCGCGGAGTATTTGAACCCCCGGGGGATAATCGATATCGTTTTCTTTCAGCCCCGAACGACATCGGAGGAGGAAGCGGTAGAGGAGGAAGCGGCTGAGGAGGACGAGGAGGAAGAGACCTCTGAAGAAGAGGGAAGCTATAACGAGTACAGCGAAGAAGAGCCGGGGGCGGTGAGTGAAGAGGAAGAAGAAGAAGAAGAAGAAGAAGAAGAAGAAGAAGAAGAAGAAGAAGAAGAAGAAGAAGAAGAAGAAGAAGAAGAAGAAGAAGAAGGAGAGGAGTCCGGGTGCGAAAGTTGGGGAGGAGAGGCCAATCAGGCGGAAGTCCGAGAAGAGGATCCTGCAGCAGCCGCAAGGAGGGAAGAGATAGCGGCGGGGAAGCGGCCGTTGGAGCATTCCAACGGCACTAATTTGCCAATCCCGGACGACCCGACCAGAGATCCCGAGCCACCCATGATTGAGGATGAGCTCCCTCCTGTAGAGACTTCGAGCGCGTCGGCGCAGAGGTGACAAAGCCGATCCCCCTCCCCTTCCCCCTGTCCCTCAGTTTGAACACGTGGCGATGCGGGGCATCGGGCTACGTCCCCGGTCGTTATCCCGTCGTCCCCTTGATTTCCTGACCCTCCGGCAGATCGATACCCCTCTCTCCTTCCCTCGTTACCCTTTCCCAACTTCCACCTTCCATCACTTCTACGCCACTCGCCTCGCTGTCACAGTGTATCCTCATTCCACCACGAGATGCGCCGCCTCCACCTTCTCCCTCCACGTTCTTCTCTTCAGTGCTGCATGGCGGGGATATAACAGGGTCGAAGTCTACTGCATGATCACGGGAACTATCCCCGCGTGCGCGGACTAAGATCAGTTTTGCACGGCCCTGCTCCGCACCTTTCCGACCCTCTATACCCACTATCTCACTTCTCTCCCCCATAGCGGTCGCCGATTCCCCCTCATACATCGCATTGTCAGATATCAGGAGCTGTCGGAGACGGTAGCAGGGATGGAGGCTTTCTTATCCCCACTCCCAAGTGATCCTCCCCCTCGCCATGCCCCCATGTACCGACTCCCTTATCCTCTCCCTGCGGCTCATTAGCGCACCATCGGATCTGATGACATGTCAACAGAAGGATTCCCACGATCATATCCTACGGGAATGACACGTGTAAATTGGCAAGATCCCCCCCCACCTCCTACGTCCGTGGTTAGATTGCCCTTCTCGGGGAACTTGTAGGATAGAGCCCGCGTATGCCACGTTGGATGACTTTCACACTCTTATCACACGGTAAGTGGCACGTAGAAAGCTCCGCGTCGTCGATCGATTAGAGAAATCGACACGTGTCGCAACATCGAGCAAGCAGGAGCTTGCTCAAGATTGGAACCCCTGGGCGTCACATATGTGACGAACCACTTTTTGTGTCGCGCGACTTTCTGTGCGATGACAATGAGGGGTCCTGAGATGGTAGGGTTGGGCAAATTGTCGGAGGTGGGGTTACGGGGTAAATTGCATCAGTGTCCTCGCTTCTTTCTTTTCCTTCGCTTCGCTTCTTCCCCTTTGGCGGTGGTGGGATAAGCCCGGGACAGACGGTTGAGTGTGCGCGCCCCGTTGGGCGCGATCAATAATGGTTGGCGATGGTTCTTTCTTGCTCTGCTGAAAGTCGAAGGAGGGAACGAAGATTTTTGGCGCGATGATCGCGTGGGAGCTTTTTGGTTTTCTTTTTAAATTTTCCTTAAAACTAAAAACGAGCCCCAAGGGGTCTCGGAATTTTGAATTCTTTGTCTCGTCAGAATTTTTCTGCTGCAATTTTGAGTTTAGATAGGAATTTAGGACTTTTTAAATTTCTTGCCGAGTGGCGCCTCTTTCTTGTGCGCATATTCCTGCGGCGGAAACGAAGTTCTGACTAAGCGGCGCCCTTAATCTTGCATGCAACTGTAATCGATGGGCGGGCGCCATTGTAACTGTATCTTTCTTCTTGTTCACTCGCCTTCTTCTGCATATGATTGGCCTGAGCGCTGCATGCCTAGATCGATGCATGGAGAGTGGCTATGTCCCCCATGCCGCGATCTGGCCATGCCAAGCGTAGGCGCTTCCTTCTCTGCTCCTCTTTTCAATCTCTGCAATCTCGCATCTTCGCGTACACATGCATGCTATAAAATTTGTCGGCGCGATTAGATAGCTCTCTAAAATTTTGGAAGGTAGAGGTTTGCGCGATCAGTGAGGGTCGGCTAATGAGCGACGTGAGAGGTGAGTGATGAAGGAGTTGGACGACCCGCCGAGCTGGTGCCAAGTGCCCGAGGTTGACGTGCAGGCCACGACGGACTGTGGCACACGAGCGAACTTGACGGGCGCATGCGGACTAAGCGGGGTGATAACTTCGTGGGCGGATGCGAGACGACGGACTGCCCGCATCGGAGGGAGAGAGAGAGAGAGGGGAAGCAGGCAGATGTGGGATTGCAATGTTCTTTATCTTTTTCTCAGTCCTTGTATATAAAATTTTGGCTCCGGGCGAGACGCCTTGCTTTGCATTTTGACATTTCTTTCGGCTTTGTGTGATGTACGGTTCAATCTCTGTCCTCCCTCTTTCGTTATGCATTCGATTGATGAGATGGGTCTAATGATCTTGTAATACGTGATGTTTTGCGTGTAATCCTGAATCATCCCGCGCTCGCAGCGCCGATCTATTCTCACCTGGATGATTGGTAGGTGAAAGGAGTCTGATACTGTGTGGTGCTTCGATGTATGTCTGGATGACAATGAGATATCCCTCTGATGGCCACGTGACTGCTTTTTGCTCGAACAAGAATGGCTGAGAGATTATTGCATGACCACATAAACCTTATTTTGCATAGATGATTGCCTGATGGATCGATCCACAACGGGCCAACCCCGCGAGTCCCCGTGTAAGTGCGATCTGACGAGCGCGACTTACACGAGTACCCACGAGGCCGGCCCGCAACCTCGAATGGGCTTAGCACGACCGATCTCGACGTAAATGACGAAATCTTCATCTGCAATGCGGGCGGGACAAATTAAGGCCCGACGCCATACGGGGACCACTGGGTGTGCATGCTGTGCGAATGTCCAAAACGAACAAATTGATAGCCTGAGGGAACTAGCTGGATGGTTGAGCCGGTACGCGGATGGATCGTCCTTGAATATTTGTGCGGTTTTAGGATCTGATCAATTGGCCAGTGCGCACGCGCGTATAAGACAGCAGCCGTCCGTGGACTTGCCATCTATACGCGCGCCTGCAAAAGCCAGCTACGACCTCGCCCCGTAGGAAGATGTGTGTAAACGAAACATGGCAACAGATTCCCCTTTTTGGATCACCGATCGCGAAAGCCTGAGGGACCCAGAATACCGAGCGTATTGGGAGAGGGAACAGACCGTCGGCAGCAGATCCGACAACATCGCCACCTACGAAACCCTGGGTACCTCGAGTACCCCTGTCGGACTGAAAACGAGCGGCTGTGCAGGGGTGACTTCCAGCTGGCAATCAACCGAGACCCACAGATACCCGATTATCCCGACAGTCAAAACCAGCAATATCTTCTAACCCCAGGCTTCGTTGCCATCACCACTGACTTCCCTCCCTACTATACCGTCCTCCCTTACCACCGGTTGCTCGTGGTCCCCTGGGATTCCGTAGCCCGGTTCTGGCCCCGACCGCCGTGCTCGGAGTGTCGGCAGCCCGACGAGCATCGGCAGGCGAGGGTTGCGCAACGAGCCCACCCCAGGACCGAGCGACGAGAACCCAGCTCGTCTTCGTCGGACCCCGAAACTTGCGACGGCCGACAGCGGTACGAACATTCCCACAGAGACGCTCGTAACACCCTGCCCCGGCCCAGGCAGCACGATTGATCATCGCCCCAACTCTGAACCAGAATACACTTGCACTCCTACCCCTGAGACTTGCCACGGGAGATCTCAGTTCCGACCTGGGACTCCACCCCAAATCCCCAAAAATCCTTGGGGCACCCCTTTTTCGCACTTCCGGGCCCCCATCCCACTCCGATCAGGAAATCGGGCTGGGCGTGAGGTTGGGCGTCACACGGATGCATAATTTCCTATTGCAGAAATTTGTTGATGCTTTCGCAGGGCGCTGTGTGAGGATGGGTAGCTGATTTCTGCCGAGAGAGCTTTAGCAATGCACAAGAAGAGATCCTGGGTCCTGTAAACTCTGCCACAGCAGTGTGCTAGGTAGATTCTGGGCTTGTCAGTGTTGTCACATCTCGTTACGGGATATGTCCTGAGATCTTTGGACAGCGATCAGGGGCACTGCTTATCATTTCAATCTTGGTATAATTACGTGTTTCGTGTTTGTATTTCCTTAGACTGTGGTTGTATTCCCATAGCTTGTAGAAGCTCACGTTGCCTGTTGGAATGTAGTCCCCGTTTGGAAGCTCCATGCTGGTCTTTACAGGTTTATCCATCGTGACAGATTGTCATTTGTCTGGCCATCTGTTGTAACTCAGATGTCTCTCAAACCAAGACTGGGACCCCAGGGTAATCAATGCCGGCAGGAACTCCTCAGGAACTCCTCACTACTATGTTCCAGATAATTTCAAATTTTCAGTTAGTGTAAGGGACGCTGGACCCGTTTTCCAGCAGGTGCTGCTCCCCACCAATAGACGGAGCCTATGAAAAAAAAAAAAAAAAAAATAAAAAAATAAAGACTGGGATGGTATATGGTAGTAAGTAGCACACGCTGTTGTTGTCGTTTGAAGTTTGATGCTTGTCCCCACAGCCTTGGGCACCGTGAGATCGAGTGCAAATCCAACCCTTAATCTGTAGCTACGTACTCGGGCCTGCTGCTGAACGGCTTCAGCATGTGTTTTAGCACACGCCTCAATAGGCTGTGAGGAAGGGAAGAATTAGTAGGAAGTAGTCTGCTGTGAGCTGGATTTCAGGCTTCCTTTGTGTACGGGGAACCTGGTCTCGTCGTATTTCAGGCCAGATTAGTGCATGTTGTTAAGAGTGTTGATGCTTGGTAGTCTAGTAGACGCCTTTGTTGAGCCTAGGGTGCAGAGCAGCACTTGTCTCTGTTGCCAAAGTTGGGAAGGGATGGACTACTTGTTGGGGAAACTCTTGGAACTACTAGCAGCGGCGCCACCTGGAGCAGTGGAGCAGTGAGAGTGCAACGAGGGGCGGTGGGAACGCTACTGGTCAGGTGGTAAGTGTGAACGGGTGAAGAGCAAACTTGAGTTGTTCCCATTGTGATCTATATGCTATAAAGATCCAAGGGAGCGTGGTGGGAAACCCGTCATGGCAGCTCGGGCTCTTTACAGTGTTTTTGGAAAGCCATAAGGAGAGAGTAGCCCTGATGAAGAAGAGGAGATTTTTGTTGGTGAGATGATCAAGCTGGTGCATGACTTTGTCTCTGTTCCTAGGTCTCAAACAGTAGATTAGGTCATGTGGATCAGATATCAATCTTGGTGTTTTGCTTTTCTGTGTGCTGAGAGCACTTTCGAAAAACACATTCTTTGGACCTTTCTTTGGAATCTACTCACGATAACCCGATGAGGTAGTATGGGTAGTGTCACTACGGAGGCACAGAGTGAGTGCTACGGTCAGCGGTGGGAAGGCTTCTCTCTTGTAGTTAGCATAAATAGGGTAGGAAGCAAACTTGAACTGTATCCATGGTGATCTTGGTCTGTTGAATGATATTGTCACTGAAGATCCAAGGGTGCCTGGTGGGAAACCGGTCTAGGCCTTTCAGGCTTTCTTGAGTTTACAGATCTGTACTTGGTCTCTTTTCCATAAGATTTTGAAGCCAAGCTGGGTAAAGAAAAAAACACAAAAATGATTCGGGAGGAAAGCGGTATGAAAAACAGTTGCTGGAGAGGAAAACCACTCAAACAATTAACTTTTAGTGATGGTAGGCGGCAGTCGTTCTATTCTTTTTTAAAAGAACCAAAGATAGGCTTGCCATAAAAAAAAAACTTTCTGGGTCAGGCTCCCAGACAGATTAGCAGGAGACCCGGAATATGCATTCTTCAGTAGATTTTGGCTGTTTTGCTCCGTGTATTTAGGTTTCCTAAAGTTTTCGTTCAGTTGCTCACTTAAAAAAAAAAAACAAAAAAAAACAGGTGACCGTAACATTATAATAATTACCAGACCTGCGCCAAACTAGGATTTGATCCCATGACTTCTTTTTGGCTAAATCACCCGTCACGTGTGAGTAGCATTCCGACACCTGGGTCGTGTTAGCTCGGATGAATTCACAAACGACTACTTCAAGTTGCGTCTGAGTTGCACATGTAAGAAGACATACACTAGGTAACTTCCTTTTTTCAACATTTCTAAACGCAGCTAGCACCGCCGATTTCCCCCATCGGCAATGCCTGCCCACCCCTCGTCACCGTGATGAGGGACTGGTACAGCCTTGCTCTCGCACCGCAGCTGTGGTGCGAACCTACCCCGTGGGCTGGGGAGAGATCCGGGTTGGTTGGTGTTCCCCCGTACTATAAATAGACTAGTGAGAGGATGAGATAGATGCATACTACCAAGCAAAAAGACAAAGAATATGAGATAGATAAGAGAAGAATATAGTTTACTTAAAAAAAAAAAAAAAAAAAAAAA